TCATGTAGACTCCCGCCAGCGATCGAACGTGAAGTGCTCTGTAGCCTTGTGAAATTTTTCACATGTTGATGAAGTTGGCTCAGTGTGGACTCTGGTTTGTCCTCGATAAATTGTAAGGCGAGTTCCCGAACGTCGTTGTGTTCGGAACCCTTGAGGCCACAGATCCACACCAAACACTTCATCTGGTCAGCCGTGATCTTCGACATATTTGATAGTTCGTGTCGTTTGTTGACTAACCCAGTATAATCGTCGAAGGTTCCTCCACTGGTATTCTCGCATTTACTTTGGAAATACTGATACCTTCGGGCGAACTCCGACCCTCGGTGTCCAAACAGTTCCTTGAGTTTTGAGATCGTGTCTGCGAAATTCAAATCGGAGTACTTTTTCGGGAGTATATGGGCGTCGTATTTCTGGAATGCGTCTTGATCCAGTTTTTGTACGATAAACCGGACTTTCGCAGTGTCATCCAGTGCTGCTCCTTCCTTCTCGAGCACACTCTCGTAGCGGTTGAACCACAAATCGAATGTTAAACCATCTTCGGGGTCATACCGGAACTCGGGGATCTGTCTCATGAGAAGGTTCATGGTCGTCGTTTCTGGAGTAGACCGTGGGGTTTCTGATGAGTTCTTGTCCCTCCGTATCTCCTTCATCAAGCGTGACATCATCGCCTCGAAGTCTTCCTTGCTAATCATCCTCGTCGCCAGTTGTGATAACTCTCACTTCGCTAGTCGGATACAGAGCTTCGTCGTTACAGGATGGAACTGAATTGTTCCGGGCTTATTCCTAGCCCTTTTATTCGTCATCAAATGACTTGAAAGTAATGATTATTATTTGGGGAACTCCCGCGTTCCCACAGCCAAGGCCACCCAAGATCAAAGCTCGGGGGCGCATAACTCGGCGAGGAGTCTTCGGACGGAGGAACGGATACCACAGGGAGCATCTGATGAAGTAGACCTTGCATCTGGCACAAGGACATTTGAGGGTCACGGTCGGGTCAAACAACCATTCGCTGTATCCCGAGAGGGAAACACCGGAGAGAGGAACTGACGCCGCAGCGGGCCTCTGATGGAGTAGGGCTTTCCTCATGCCCAAGGTCATCTGAAGGTCAAACTTCAAGCGTCGACATAACAGGCGAGGATGGACGGCGAGGATGAGAGGAACAGACAGCAGGCGCTGATCTTCGGCAAAGGCCGCGGACTGAAGAGGACCCCAGTGAGGACCCGAGCCGTCCAGCGTGCGCCGAAAAGGACCAGTGCCGACTACAGAAGGAACCCGGAGAGAGCGCCAGCTCCCCGATCTCCACCGAGCGGTCGGCAGGGGTAGAAAACAGCGCTGCCCAAATGGACGGAAGTGTAACGGAAGAAACCGAAAGCTTCGTCGACGCGTCAGCAACGACCGAGGAGAGGGAGCCCCAGCGGTCGTCAACATTGCTTGGAAGCTGCCAACCGCTCCAAACGAGCAGCGCCAAGAGGTCATCCTACAAGAGGAGGCGAGCCGATAACGCGAAGAGGAGGAGAGAGGAATTCGACCGATCGAGTGAAGACCATTCGCTCTGCACAACCCTCATCGAGGGAGGGGTCAAACGGCCCACGGAAAAACTACCGGATCTCTATGGGGAGATGCACAAGGTGCTTATGAAAGTCCGAACACTGCAAGCGATGTTAGAAGCCGCTACGGAGCACACGAAGGAAGACTTCGTGAGGGGCAAGCTAGCCCAAAGATGGTCGACGCAGGTACGCAGGTAGAGCTAAGCTCCGTGCTGCATGCGGACACCAAAGCGAGGAGGGTGGAAGAAGCAAAAGAACTTCGGAAGACGATCGCGGAAGCCGAGAGGAACCCAGCGCAGCTAGCGCAGCTGCTAAACGATCCATGGCCAAGGGAGGCGCTCACCAAGACCAAACTGGTCCGAGCAAGCATGCAGACAACGAGGAAGAGTGATCCTCGTGCGAGAGGGCGATACGAAGGACAAGGAGAGACTGCGACTCATCGAGATGCAGTTCCCCGGAATGGAGCACGCCAAAATCCTCAAGGGACTCAAACCAGGATGCATCGCGGAGATCTCCAATAGCCCAAAACTGTACGACCGAAGAAGCGTGCGGGAGGAAATGCTACCGGTGCGGGTGAGAAGACCATATAGCCAAAGAGTGCAAGGCAGCACCCAAATGCTATGTGTGCGGAGTCGAAGGCCACCGAGCGGACTCCCGGGAGTGCCCGAAGCAGAGGGAAGTGAAGAGCAAGGACCCGGCTGCGACCGCGAGCTCTTCTTCATCGAAGAAGAGGCCCCGAAAACGCAGGGGTAACAAAGACAAGGAGGTATTCGAACTCGATCAGGAATTCGAGGATGCGGCGGCCGCGGAAAAAGAAGTACCGGCCGCTGTCCAAGAAACACAGGGAGCGACGGAGCAGGGAGGAGCTCCGAAGATGGGAAACACTCAGACAAAAGCAGAGGAAGCGGGGCAGACCCGTCCAAAAAATAACGATGAAGATCAAGGCTCTGCAATGCAATACTAACAGGTGCAATGCGGCCCACAACCTCCTGGATCACACCCTGGAAGCTGCAGGGTATGATATTGCCCGACCACGGACAACTCGATGCTGGACAAGTCGATGTCGGACAAGTCGATGTCGACAACTCGATGCCGAGACAACTCGATGCCGGACAACTCGATGCCGAGACGAGTCGATGCTGAGACAACTCGATGCCGGACAACTCGATGCCAGACGATGCGCGCACGGAATCACGCGTCGCTACAGCTCACAGAGATTCGAGAACCAAGCGAGTAGCTACAGCTGACTGAGGATCGAGAGCCGATTGAGAGAGACGCTACAGGCTGACACAGGAATGATAAACGTGACCAGCCTTATGTATTCCACTGCCGAATCTTTCAATGCTGAAAATATAATACAATCCCCTAGCAATTCCGCTGGCGTACGTTTCGTCTGGGAAAATATACTCTTCCATATCAGAATCATTCTCCGAAAAGCTGTAAGAGTCAATGGTGCTAGGAGCCTCTATGGCAGAAAGTCCAGAGAGCTTCGTCTGTCGTTCCAGTCATTACAATACTTTGAGCCACCATCAGTTTTGCCATCCTCGGGTAGCATGCTCTCGTGGAGTTCTATTTGGAACGTTGTGCACGAGGGCTCTGAAATCGTTCGATTCGTAAGCTACTACCATAACAATTCTCAAGCTTCAATCAAACGTCCTACGAATCCTCCACGAACAAAGCCTCCTAAATTCTATGTTCGAAGAGAATAGCATCGTCCTCCGGTGCGGTAGTTTCGCAACCCGGGAGACTGAAGAGGGTCCACGGAGGCCACCTGTACATCAGAGAGAAGTTGAGTAAAGACGGTGGTACCCGATTCTGGCGTTGCCACCGAGTCGGCGCTTGCAAAGCGCGGCTGCACTCCTGTGTCGAAACGGATGAAGTCATCAAATATATGATAGGCGTTCACAGCGATGAACCGGATCCAGGGTCGATCGAAGTTGCCAGCAAGCAGTGTAGTTTGAAACGTCGTGCGGTGGAAAGTCGATGCGCGCCAATCCAGTTGATTGAGACTGCGTTCGGAAGATCCTCCACAGCTGCCAAGCTCTCCGCTCCACGTCCGGAGTCCATGGCTCGAATGGTCAATCGAGCCCGGAGAGCAGCATCGAGACCCCCCGCGACACCGTTGAATCGAGCAGCTATCGTGATACCCCCTGAGTTCACCGTGTACGAGAGTGATCCAGGCGTTTTCGAATCCTTCCTCCTAGGCGACTCAGATGACTTTCTCACGACTAGATTTTTGATCATCTTCAGTTTTCGATATGAGTCCAGGTATTCATGTGGCCACGACTTATCTCAAAGGCATTCATGTTTCTCCGATAGGTGAGGGCGACGAGCAACGGATTCTCTTGTTTGGACGAGAATCTGTTTCCGAATGGATCCGGCTGGTGCGTAAAATATATGTGGACGGCACCTTCAGCCTATCCCCTGGTCTCTTCTATCAAATTGTCGTGATTCTGGTTGAGCGGGATTGCTTCGTCCTACCGGTCTGTTATGCTCTGTTACCTAACAAGACCGAAGAGACGTATCGTCGCATGATTCGACTCCTCCGAGATGCATGGCCTGCTCTGAGGCCTCAAGCGATATCAACAGACTTCGAAAAGGGACTCATCAATGCGCTCAGTGAAGCCTTCCCTATCGCCGAACTTCACGGTTGTTTCTTCCACCTAGTGAAGAACTTGAAGAAAAAGCTCAGTGATCTGCACTTGATGAGTCGGTACCAAAACGACGGGAATTTCTCGCTGTCCGCTCGCACGATCACCGGACTAGCCTTCGTCCCCCCCCAAGCCATCGACCATGTTATCGCGGAATTGGCGGTTTTCTTGCCCGAAGACTTGATGCCGGTGCTGAAGTACTCTGAGGACACATACGTAGGCTCGCTGCAGCATCTTCTCCCTGACGGGAGCGTAATCCGGCGAGAACCAATGTTTCCGGTCGCCATGTGGTCCGTTTATGAACGTACTCTGAATCAGGATTCCCGAACAAACAACTATGCCGAGGCGGCTCACAGACGGTTACAGACAGAATTCGGAGTTGATCATCCGTCGTTGTGGAGGTTCGTCGATGGCTTGAGGAAAATTCAGCATCATCGCGATATCCTCCTGGCTCGATACATCAACGGCAACCGACCGACTGCGAAACGCACCAAATATCTCAAAATTGATGAGAGATTGTTTGAACTCGTGAACACGTTCGAGTCTCGAACACCAGTTGAGTTTCTTCAGGGCGTAGCGAGCAATTTTCTCATGGAGGCTTAGTAACCCGTGAAGATTACGGGTTGCTCTGCATTTGTCCCCGAAACTTTCTTATTCAAGGATCATGATCTTGTTCCATCATGATCTTGTCAAGTGACCCGAATCATAAAGCCATGAATGGTACATCCACTAGATCCGCTCGACGGCTCATGCGGAGCCGTGGTGAATTAAAGAAAAAAACTTCCAAATACATGGCGATAATGAGCGAATTATTTGGTGAACGATTTTTTCTTCCTGTTCCTCCTTAGTAAACGATAGGAATTTGATCGGGTGATCACAAGTCGATCGCATCCTGTCCCCGCATCGAGTTGTCTCGGAATCGAGATGTCGGCATCGAGTTGTCCGACATCGAGTTGTTCGGCATCGAGTTGTCATGTACCGAGATTAACGAGAGGACGCGACAATATGGACCACAAGAGATATCCAAGCGAAGATAGCAGCGAAAGGAGGAGGAGACGGGTACGTCTGGATCGTTATCGGAGCAGCTGTGATATACAGCTGCTATATCTCGCCGAACTCCGGGACCGACGGGTTTGACAGATTTGTCGACAACCTGGAAGGGAGCCTGGAAACCTGGAGCCTGGGGAGAATGTTGGTCGTGACCGGCGACTTCAACTCCGCGGCAGAAGAATGGGGCAGCAAGCAAACGAACGAACGGGGAGCGAAGCTACTACAGCTGGCCGGTCGACGCGGCCTCCTCATAGCAAATGACGGAAGAGAGCCAACTTTTCAGAGAACAATGCAGGCGACGATACAGAGATCCTTTCTGGATCTCACCTTCTACTCAAGCGTCACACAGGCTGACGTAGAGGGGTGGAGGGTGCTCAATGAGGAAGCGATGAGCGACCATCGCTATGTGGAGTTTTACATTCGAAGAGGCAGACAACAAGAAGATGATGAAGAAGAGGAAGGCAGAACGGGCGGGACGAGTTGGAAGTGGAACCCAAGACGTCTCGATTTGGAAGTAGTGAGGAGTCGGATTATTGATGCGAAGGCACGAGAGGTACCGATGGAGACACCAGAGCAAATAGCTGCGGTGATTCTGAGGGCCTGTGAGAAAGCAGCGAAGGGCACGCCCTCGAGGGGCCGGCGAACCAGGAAAAACAAGTACTGGTGGACAGAGGAGATTGCCGAGGCACGGAAACGGTGCGTCAGCCTTCACCGGAGGCACTTCAGGTGCGTCCAGCGAGGGAAACTCAATGAGGCGGAGGAGGCAGCGGAGTGGTACAAAGGGGCGAAGAAAGAACTGAGGAGACTAATCCAGCGCAGTAGAGAGCGTTGCTGGCTCCAACTATGCGAAGAAGTCGAACGGGACTCCTTCGGAAAGGCATTCAAGATCGTTATGAAAAAGTTAGGGGCTACGGCGCCGAGACTGCCCGCCCCGATGCGATGGTAGAACGAGTGAGGAGCGTCTTTTCCCCTCGCGGCCGATCCGACAATCGACGTTCGGGGAAGACGAGGTTTACGATTTCGAGGCAGTCACCGCGGGTGTCGACGGTGTTCCGCCGCACAGTGGTCAAAAATCAATTCCTAGGTGGACAAAATTATTTCGATGATTTTTTCGATAGAGTTCCGTTTCCCGAATGAGGCGTGAGACTTGGAAGGTGTTTCCGGCCTCCAGCTCGCCCGCGGAGACGATATTTGAGGTCTTGAAATATCCCACCAACTTTATGCATGCAGATTTGAGAGAGACGAATGCTCCACGACTTGAATGATGGGTGCCTAACGGATAGGGACTGCCTTCTGGTTCATCGAATATCTTTATTCCAGGACGTTTGATACCTCAGTATGTACGTGATAAGTGATAAGTAATGCGTATCCGCAACGATGTGCCCATAGCTCCGTACGCTTTGCACATCCATTTCATCGCTAGACGTCTCTATCGTCGTCCTCACAGGCTTCCCTGCTCAGCTCGCCGAAACCGTTGTCCACGTCCGAGTCCCTAGAAAGATCGGAGCCTTCTGATTCAGTTTCGCTGTCCGTTTGCAGTTCTGTATCAAGACGAGATGTTGGAGCTTGGGGCTTCAATAGAGCTTGGGCCTCCGGTTCCAGGAGCGCACTCTTCCTACTCTGCGCGGGCTTTTGGAATTGCGCGATGACGGGATCCGATGTTATGAGAAGCATCATCATTAGATCGGAGTTTGAGCTCCCGACTATCCTTCCTAGTCCTTCCTGAGATCCTTCTGTCGGAAAGCCAATGGGCACAGAATGATGGCGGATGATCTGGCTGCTATGGTCCAATATTTTGTGAATGGTAGGTTTCGGGGAGTACCAAGGATAGAGAGTCGATAGCAGACTTTTCGTTTCATGAGTGTAAGACTGAAATTTGTCGGCATCGATCTCACTCTTCGCGGATAGCGTTGTCAGGATTACTCTGAATCGAACGATGAGACTCTCGTCGATTCCCGTGATCTTCGAGCTCGTGTGTGAATTTTCAAAAAACCTCCTGGCCGTATTTCCGTCGTTTGTGTTGCCCGATCCTTGTCTGGGTTGGTCCACGATCAGACCGAGCTTCTCGCGAAATTTCTGCTGTATTTGCCTTTTTCTCATCTGCATGTTCACTTTCTGGATCTTCGGCACTGTTCTAACCCTTAGTTCCATCCTGTAAGTCATGTTCAGAAAGAATTCCAAGCTTCGAATCCAGGCTTGCAGAGTCTGAAGTCCGAAGCTATAGTTTTCTCGCACATCCTCGGCGAAGAAGGAAGCATCTTGCGACTGCTTCGGTGTGGCATTGCATACGAAGCAAGTCTGCGTGGATTTCACACCGGTGAGAGCGTTGACAACCTTCCCATCGACCATGGTACAGACCATTTGATGTTGCACGAACGCCGAGTCCTTCGAGGTTCCCTCAACTGGGACTTCGATGCCAAGGAGATGGTGCCAAAGATGATGGAGGGGGACGAGGCATGGACGATGGTCGAGGGCTATGTGGCCACCGTGATTGGCACGAAAGAGGCCCTGGGGCGGACCAGGCGCAGATAGGCCGAAGAGGGGACAGAGGACCGCCGAACCCAGCCACAGGCAGGAGCTGAAGGAGAACCTGAGGAGGACCGGTACCCGCCGGGATTCGGCACAAGAGGATGAAGACACCGCAGAAGCGCCAAGGGCCCCCCTGAGGCAATGTCTTGGCTGACGGACGGGGAGGGGGCTCGAAGAAAATTTTCTCATGTGTATCATATATAATATATACATATATATTTAATGCACATATAATATAAGCGGCAAATAAATTTGCCGGCCGCAAGTGCGGAACCGGCCCCCGGAAAAAAAAAGATTCGAAGCGTGACGCAGGACTGGAAAGTTCCTTATAATCGATGCCAGCCTGCTGAGCGTATCCTTTCAAAACAATTCTTGCTTTGAATCTTTCGACTTTACCCTCAGCGTTCCGCTTTGCCTTGAAGACCCACCGAAAACCTAAGCTTCGACGTCCAGGTGGGAGTGTGGTCAATGTCCACACATTCAATGTTCTCATGCTGTTCATTTCAGCTTCCATGGCTTCAAGCCATTCCTGACCTTCATCAGAATTGATAGCTTCTTCATACGTATTGGGTTCTTTTATCTGGTTTGAGTTGCTAATATTTGCGATGGCAATATTAGTGGGATGTCTTGCCTCATTCGTTTGATACGCGGTCTTAATGAAGCTAAACGTTCAGGGTTAGGTTTGAACTGTCTTCTAGGTCTTCTTCTGTTGTTTCTTTGAGTTCTAACTTGACTGTCTCCAGTCGGGAGCGTAGGGAGAGGGTTGCTCTCGTTTTCTCGTGAACCACTCGCCTGCGGTGATTCGGTCGGTGTTTCTTGATTCTGGTTGATATCTTCTGGTTGATATCATTTGGTCACTCAGCTCCTGCTGGTTGTTCACTTGTTTCACTGGCTGGAACACTTTCTGGATTTTCTGGAGACAATCGATGGGTTCCGCCATTTTCTTCATTACGCGCACTGCCACTGTTCAGTTGGCTTTTCTTCGGGAATACGACATCCTTCGTCGTTACTACTACTTTCCTGCCAGGTGACCGGACTCTGTAACCTGCTTCTTCTGTGCCTAGTCCCACAAGAAATCCAGGGATTCCTCGGGGATCAAGTTTCTTCCTTGTGGGTTCCAAGTTAACGTACGTGCATGGAGTTCCAAACGGTCCGAATCTTTCGAAGTAAGGCTTTTTACCAAAGAAGATTTCGTAGGCTGATTGATTTGTGACTGGGTTGATTGTCACGGCATTCAAGACATTTGCACTATAGCTAATTGCATCTGGCCACAGGGATTTGGGCAGTTTGGAATCTATGAGGATGGCTCTTGCAAATTCCACTAGTGTTCGATTACTTCGTTCTGCCATACCATTCTGAGCCGGAGTTCTTGGGTTAGAAGCGGTCTGATCAGCTCCGATATCAGTGAGAATTTTGATGACAGTAGCATTGAAGAACTCACTTCCATTGTCCGTGTGTAGCCGGTCGATGTCACGTTGGAACTTGTTTCGGAACCATCGAGTGTATTGTCAGATACCTTCTGCTGCTTGTTCCTTCGTGTTCAGGAAGTACACTCTTCTGAAGCGACTGAAGTCGTCTGTCGGGCACGTGAAATGATTGACCCCGGTTAGAGAGCGTTGTGCGGGTGAGCACAAGTCTCCATGGATGTATCCTGGTCTTTTCGCCCTGCAGTCTGCGGGTTTGGTTCGGTAGGTGCTTCGATGCTGTTTTCCTTGTAGACATGATTCACAGTTGAAGAAGTCATCTTCATACTCGATTCCTTCACGGTCCAGGGTTTCCTTGATTTTACCTTTATTTAAGTGCGCTAGAGCGTCGTGAGCGGCTTCCTTGGTACTATAGCTTAGAGTCTGCAGACATTTGGGCTCACTTTTGTCGATGTTGAGGACGTACAGTCCTTCCTTACATTCGGCTGTCGCTCTACCCTGACCGGTGGAGATGAGAGTCCTCTCGGGGTTTATTGAAACCTCGTAACCATTTTCTGTCAATTTTCTAACAGAGATGAGGTTTGTATCCATTTTCGGTGA